GTACAAATTGGTGGTTATAAAATAGTCACGGGCATGTAAACGGCAGCACAGGGAATACAGTCAATGAGACTGCACTAGTTATTTATGGTGTCAGATGGGTACTAGATTTAGCAGGGTGATCACTGTGTAAGTTATGTAAATGGCTAATAACTATGTTGCTATTGAAACTAATATACCATTGTATGTCAACACTAATCGAAAAGTAAAAAATTATTCTAAAAAAGATAACCGGCATCTCTGAGCCTGACATTCTTCTTCTGCAAAGTGGGGATAAATTACAACTACCTCATGGTATTGCTGGTCAACTGAGCGAGCTACTGAATGTAACACATTCTGAAGAGCACCCAGCACACAGCACACACTGGGTGTGTGATAAATAACTGAAAAGCATGAGCACCTTCGAAGGCAGAGCTGCCTTGGTCTTCTGACCTGGACATCACACCCTGGGGCTCAGGACAGTGACCCAAAGTAAGTGCTCAACAGATCATGGTTGAAACAAACTGTTCTGGTATAAAAGGGCTTCTTTAAAACGAGACTGCCAGGCCCTCAGGTGACAGACATAGTCAAACTAGCGTAGTGAGGGATTTATGCAGGATGCTCACTGTCACACTGTGCACAAAAACACCTCAGTGTCCATCTACCACAGGGCGACTGGTTAAAATAATTACGTATATTCATACCCTGGGACACTGTGCAGCATTTATAAAGAATAAAGTGGCACGGTATGGGGTAATGTGGAAAGATCTCCAAAATACCTAAGCGTGAAGGGCAAGAATAGAGTGAAATGAACAAGAATACACATGCATATGTCATTCATGTGTGACTTCGCTGAAACTTTGTACTAGAATCTGTAGCCATGGTTACTGACAGGGAGGAAGGGAAGCAGCCTGGACTTAAACATGTTTAAGTTCTTTACCACAGGAAGTATTCCGTTCCGTACACTTATTACTCTTACTGATGAACGGTGAAGCGTCCTGTGTTGTTGCAGCACAGTGTTCCTCTCTGGAACCAGGACAGGCTGAGAGAAAAGCAGTTGGAGCAGGGAGAGCGATGGTGAGCGCCTGGGGAGGGGGTAAAGCGGTTTTACCAGCAAACCTACTGGCTCACGGAGGCGGCCATCCAGGACCAGTCACGTGTGTAGATAAACCGCGTCCAAGCCGACGCTGATGGAGAATTTACATGTGTCAGACACCTTGCTCAGCCTTTCCAATTAGCATCTCATTTCATCTTACCTGTGAGGAGGCCCGGTCATTATCCTCATTTTTCCAGAGAGAATGGAGATGTGAGCATGAGGCAGCTCACAGGAGGGCGCAGAGCTCGGCCACTGAGGGGCTGAGAGTCAGGCTCAGCAGAGCCACAGTGCAGCCTGCGCCTGCACGTCCAGCAGACAGCAGCCGCCAGGAGGGGTGGCCAGGGGGCGCGAAGGCAGAGGGGGCTCTCGAGAATCTATACAGCCCCGTTCTTACCACACCACCTGGCGTTTAATAAAAACTGCGCGGTGCTTTCAGCTTATAAGAGTCAACATCATAGATTCCAGTCAGTTCCAAAAATGATGAGCCATCTCGCCTGGTAAGGAAATCATACAGCCAAAAGGTCAAACACTAAAGAACACTGCCGTCAAATGCCTTCAACATGCGGCGGATTAATCCTGGGCAGAAGAAAATTTCAACTCGCAAACAGCTAAGCAACATTCACAGAAAGACCAGGTCATGTGAGGTGATCAGATATTTTTTGAAAAACCTTTCTCTGTTGCCACAAACCAGCAGGTCGTGCTAACAACTCTTAGTTATATCTAGGATATTCCTTTTGAGGTTTCCAGGAAAGATGTGGGGTGTGGAGGTCACACGGAGCTGGGTTGGTTCCCTCTAGTATTCTGGAACCAGTTGTACAACCTTCCAAAGGCACAGCTCGGAAGAGGTCCTAGGAGCTACCTGTCCTCACCATCCCCTCCACAGCGTGGTGGTAACAGCGACCTCTGCCAAGCAGTCAAATTACATGGGAAAACACAGTGATTCCACCCATGGACCCGCAACAGAAACACCTCAATAAAATGAGTTTGTTTTCCCTTTTCCCCAGACCAGTTGTCCAACCCACATGCCTTTCCTTTTCAACTCAACACTCTTTGGCTTTGCACAACCACTCTCTCACCCTAAACCTCTCCAGAAATGTAAATGGATGTTTCTAGTTTTTATTTTAGGGGCCTCTAGCTCCCCAGGAGGGCATAAGGACTGATTTCAGAAAAGGACTATTCACTTGCTGCTAACCAAGGCGGATTCACATTTGCTCTGTCCTCAGCCTTGAATTTTTAACTAGACTCACATCCCTAAGACAGCATGTTGAAGAGGCTCCGGCACTTCTCCCGCCCTCGCCTCACTCCGAGTCCTTAATGAACCCTTCTTGCTTCAGGCTTTCTGAGATTCTTCTCCCAGCCCAAACCACCCGGAAAGTAAGACAACTGATCATTAGCAATACTCAAAGGAAATATTCCTGAGTTCACAATCAGGAATCTGACAATCATCTAAACAGTGTCCAATGGATGCTCACAATTTGGAAATGAGCAGCAGGTACAAAGAATATAAAGGCAGGATCCGCACCCAGACTCACAGAGGCTGCTCTCACAGAAAAGCCACAACGTCCCTAACAAAAGTCAGCTTCGTACTTACCCTTTGTTTTTAAGTCTAATCTTGAAAATGCCCCAGTAATTGTCCAATAAATCCAAATGCTCAGAGTTCATAAAGATACACCATGATAATTTGACCAAATTAATAATTTGACCTAGTTAATAGCATATTATATCCTCCTGTCTCAAACAGTAACACTCAGAAGAGCAATCAAGCTGTAATATTGCTTTCAGAAAATGTAAGTTTAATTTTCCCCACATCTGGTTTTGACCTTGCAATCTCACTCATGGTATCTCATCCTATAGACATGATTCAACTTGTGTGAAATGATTTATCTCCATACTACTCAATGTAATAGTATTCTGAAATATTAAAAATATTTATCAAAGGGAGCTAGTTAAATAGTTATAGTATGCCCACACAAAGAAAGCATACAGCCACTTAAAAAAGAAAACAAGAAGTGGCTGTTACTGAACTGCAAAGATTGTAAGACATACTGTTGAATAAAGTTGCATGCATGCATTATATACTACCTGTTGTGTAAAACAGGGAAGAAATAAGAACACACACATAAAACACACACATGTATTGCACACACACACACACACATATTTACATAAAGAAATTTCATAACAGTAATCAGAAACTAAGAACATTAGTTGTAGTATTGGAAGGAAAAAGAAATGAAAATTAGGCAGGTGGTAACCGGTATATGGAAGAGATTAGTCAATGAACATTGTAAATATTTTCTTTATGAACCATGTAAATGTATTATCTACCTGAAAAACACATTAAAATTAATTAGTAGTAAAAATGGTATTCCATTCCTTTCTGTCGAGATGAAAACAACACTCCTTATTTTGTGACTGATGGAGTCTTCTTCCCCTTCCTGCTAATACCACACATGTCCATATTGATAAACAAAACACACATATTTAAATTAATAAATTAAATCGGAAAACTTGTAGAAGAAAATACCACAAAAACTAACTACTTTTAAAGAGCTACACAAAGCCTAGTCCACACATCTTATTATTCACAGTAGGGTGACCTGCAATCTCCTCTGGTATTAGACCTCACTAGTGCACACAGCCCTTCTGCCCCGATGGCCTGGGTCCCCTGGGGGCTGGGAGAGAGATGTCCTCGCTGCCGGGAGCAGCTCACCTTCATAGGTGCCGACCTCCAGGAGAGTCCCGCTCTGCTCGAGGTCCAGGAACTCCTTCACAGTCAGGAAGTTGTAGTCCACGCCGGGCACTTCTCCTTCCCTGGGAGAGCGGGTTGTGCCTGCAGCAGACAAGACAAAGGCACAAGAAACCATCACTCAACTAGAACAGGAAGCGCCACATCCAGGTGTAATTAAAATAACCTGTTCAGTCAGCCGGCATACCCGAGACTTCTAGACCGATCTGCCCAGACAGGGACCTGGTGAAGACAACTTCTTTCTAAGAGGAGCGTCCCCACCTCCACCACGTGTGCCTGGGACTCGCAGACAGGAGTGGAGAGAAACAGGCGCAGCCAGGTAGCCCAGGGAGAGTTTCATCCTTTTAAAAATGCAGTGAATGAAGAAGGCGAACTGGATTTTATACAGAAAGCATCCATAATCAGCAGCTTTGAGGATTCTGGGAACTACAAAAATGTTATCCACCTTAAGCTCAAAGCCTCCGGGGTTCATATTTTTATCACGGGCCTTGAGACTCTTGTGTTCCTCAGTATATCCGGCAAGTTCCAACGTAATGAGCCCTTTGCAGAAAACGGCACCCACCACATAAACACAACCCTGGGGAAACCCGATTGCCCAGGATCTGAGCCTGGATATCTCCCAGGGACAGAATAATGCGCTGCTCTCCATGTAATTAATATGTTGGGTAAAAAGAGGCCATCCACAGTTCCGACCAGAGGGAAAGGACACTGCATTTTGCTAAAAAATTCTCCCCCTGATTTAAGCTGGTTATTCTCACAACAATTAACAAATAGACCAATGCCTCTTATGAAATAACCATATCGAGCCCCTAGCACATGGGCGTCACCAGCTCAGGTGCTGGCTGTGGGCCTATCATCTTAGTGGAGGCTCAACGAAGCAACATGGAGATGTGTGGTTTAGACATTAAGCCAGGAAAAGAAAATAAACCAAGACGCAATTATGTAGTGTGTGCCAGGAAACCATATTAAATATTATGAAACACCAAAAAAAGCAAATGATTTTGGCTCCCACCTTCAAGTTAGGGGATGTAGCTGACATAGCTCATTTTGAAAGGCCCTGTCACCCACGCTGCTTAGCAGATCAGTGTTTTCCTATACCATGAGCAGGGATTATCCCCTAGTCCTAGGAATGTGAAAGCCACTAAATAACCAACTGCATGCACCTGGTGGCTCGCATGTTCCCAGCACAGTGCAGTCTCTGATCACATGTGACTGACCATATCCACACGCCTGCAGTGCTATCCAGAATGTCCTTCAGTTAAAAAAACCAACACATCTGCATGTTTTACTCAAGATAAGTGCATTTTTATATGAGCCCAATTTTCCTAATATCTGAAATCCGAGTGTTTTAATAGCTGCGAATTTTCCATAGGATGATTATATTACAAATCTTTGCTTATCACCCAGCATGCTGTGCTGTCCGGTAGAGCAGCCTGCTTGTGGAGTGTCCAGAAGTCCACTCTTGTACTGTTTCCTAGTTGGTTCCATTTCTGGCTCCCCTGGCATACAATGATAATCCCTTGAGGGAGCTCACAACTTTTCAATGTATATCTCATGTCAAGCCCACAGCAGGCACCCAGAAACACCAAGAATATCACATGGTGTTGACAAGCAGGGGCCTGGAGTGAGCAATGGGCTCATGGTCTGGCTCCCCAGGTTGTGGTGTTGGGCAAGTTCCTTAGCTTCTGTTATTTTTCAGTTTCTTCATCCGCAAAGTAGCGATCACAATAGTAACTCCACCATAGGTGTGTTGTGTTTACTGCATGGGATGATCCTTTTAGAGGACTTAGCTCAATGATCATTAGCAGATATTATAGTTTATAAACAATAATATAGTTATTGTTACAATGACATGAGTTAATAAAATCTTAGAGTTCAAATGATTTATACATTTACCATTATATAGATTCTTATATTCCATTTATTTATTAAACTAGAGGCCCAGTGCACAAATTCATGCACCAGTGGAGTCCCTCCGCCTGGCCTGCGGGATCTGGCCAAAACCAGCTTTCTGACATCCCCCAAGGGGTCCTGGATTGCGAGAGGGTGCAGGCCAGGCCGAGGGACCTCACTGGTGCACGACTGGGGCTGGGGAGGGTTGTGGGAGATTGGCCAGTCAGGGAGGGATTGTGGGAGGGGTCCAGGGTGTGTCCAGCCCATCTCGCTCAGTCCTGATCAGACAGACCCCAGCAGCAAGCTAAACTACCGATCAGAGCGTCTGCCCTCCTGGTGGTCAGTGCACATCATAGTGAGCGGTTGAGCAGCCTTAGCATGTCATCAGCATATTACGCTTTGATTGGTTGAACGGCTGACCGGACGACCGGACACTTAGCATATTAGGCTTTTATTTTATAGGATATTTACTGAGGTCCCAACAGATGCCAGGCACTAATTTAGGGCCTGGGAAACACTCATGACCAAGACAAAGCCCCTACTCTAATGGAACTTACATTTTACTATGAAAGGTAGAAAGCAAATATGGATGTGAAGAGATACAGCATTTAATTTCAAGAGGGAATAAGTCTTTTGTAGGAAACATAGGTTAAAGCAGTGGTTCTTAACCTTCCTAATGCCGCGACCCTTTAATACACTTCCTCATGTTGTGGTCATCCCCAACCATAAAATTATTTTTGTTGCTACTTCATAACTGTAATTTTGCTACTGTTATGAATCATAATGTAATTATGCAATATACAGGATGTATTTTCATTGTTACAAATTGAACATAATTAAAGCAGAGTGATTAATCACAAAAACAATATGTAATTATATATGTGTTTTCTGATGGTCTTAGGCGACCCCTGTGAAAGGGTCCTTTGACCCCCAAAGGGGTCGCGACCCACAGGTTGAGAACCGCTGGGTTAAAGCATTAGAAAGTGTCTCAGAGCAACATAGGTGAAAGGGCTTGGAAATGTCTTGGAGGGAGGAGGGGGGGTGGAGAGGAGAGAAGCTACTTTAGATTGGTGATAAGGAAAAGCTGGCTAAGGAGGTGCCATCAAAACTGAGAGCCCTGCAAAGGTGATGGTGGGAAGAGCATTCCTGGAGGGGGTTCAGGGTCAGGTCTTTGATGTGGCAATAGGGTGGGCATGTTGTGGGTAGGGCAAGAAGGCCAGAGAAACTGCCGCAGAGCAGTGAAAAAGAGGTTGGAAATGAAAATGAAAGCGAGGGGCCAGGTTACGGAAACCAGAGAAAACACTTCCTGCTTTATTCTAAGGGGGATGGGAAGACGAGTGATGCCATGATTCATTTTTAAAGGATCGTCTGGCTTTACAGAGTTGAACAGGCCATGAACAGAGTAGCAAGGGTCCCAATCAGGTGCCGTTACAGTGTCCAAGTGAGAGAAATCAGGGCAAGGACAGGAACACTAGGAAGCAGGTGAAAAGAAGCAATCAGATCTTTATCACAAATCGTTGAGCATCTTGTTTTTTTCTTTTTTAAATCCTCACCTGAGGACACGCTTAAGGGGGAAGGGAGAGAGAGGGGAAACATCGATGTCAGAGAGAAACATGGTTTGGTTGCCTTCCATAGTATCCTGACCGGGGATTCAACCCACAACCTGGGCATGTGCCCTTGGCTGGGAATCAAACCAGCAGCAGGACAATGCTCAACCGACTGAGCCACTCCAGCTGGAAACTGTTGAGTATCGTAAGTAGCGGTAATGTAGTCCATAGCATAGATGTATTAAAAGTATGTCAACTCATTGGGCCACGCGAGGTCTATATTTTAAAGATAGAACTTGCTGATGGAGTGGACATGATACTGTTGTAATTATCCAGTTATTAATAACAGGAAAGGAGCAAAGGGAAGCCAGATATTATAGGCACGTCATTTGGGCAGCTTCACCAGGAAGCTACAATTCTGCACTCCCCAGGGAAACATCAGCCCATTCCCTGCAGATCACTGGGAGAAGGGGTCCAACAAAGGGGAGATAGATGCATGCCCAGCGAAGTTGGGGTGACATAGGAAAAGTACTCGTCTGACAGTCAAACCTGGGGAAAGAGATGCTCGATTCATGCATTTGGCGGTACATAATGCCCTCAACCAGTGGTCGGCAAACTCATTAGTCAACAGAGCCCAATATCAACAGTACGACGATTGAAATTTCTTCTGAGAGCCAAATTTTTTAAACTTAAACTATATAGGTAGGTACATTGTTATTATCTTAATTAGGATACTCCTAAGGCTTAGGAAGAGCCACACTCAAGGGGCCAAAGAGCCGCATGTGGCTCGCAAGCTGCGGTTTGCTGAGCCGCAGTTTGCCGACCACGGCCCTCAACAAAGGAATCCCCTCTCCGGTTGCGTTGGACTCTTGGCTCCTGGGGTCCTTGGCTCCTGCTCCCTTGCATTCACCCATGATTCCTCCATAGCCATGTGGGCCTGTGGACCCCTCAGGCAATGGGCTGATGGACCGCAGCAGGGAGCACAGCTAAGCTAGTCTGATGCAGGATGGACACTGCTCTGATACAGAACAGAAACTCTGGATACAACGTTGATTTTATCCCTACTGAAGCCCCAGCTGCACTCTTCTATGACTGGACAAAGGGAAATGGGATTTTGGAAACTCTGGGATTAAATCTACACAAATAAAAATCACTCATCCTGCCGTGCGAGTCTTGGAAAATTCTTTCCTCAGAATATTGCAAGAGTTCCCCTCCCCTGAGCAACAGGTTGGGAGGGCCCCTGT